TGGGAGAGGGTGCAGCCCACGCTGTGCCTGGGCTGGGACTGGTACCGCTGGTGCAGGGTAGCAGGAAGCTCTCCACACACTCACTGGACCTGGGTTGGGACTGGGTCAGGTGGTTCCCGGAACTGGGCAGGAATTCCTACTCGGTGGGCGGGGTGGGGGAGGTACTGCTGAGTGTTGGGGGGCGAGCCAAGGGGGTGGGAGAAGGTCCGGCCTATGCTGCGCCTGGGCTGGGACTGGTCCCACCTGCGCACGGTAGCAGGAAGTTCTCTGCACACTCACAGGACCTGGGCTAGGATTTGTGTATCTTGAGAAGGAGAAAAGCTACACATTTTAAAATTACCCCCCTTTTGTTTTATTTGGTTATTGTTGTTCAACCAACCAGATCCTTTATTTATTTATTTATTTATTTAGTACAGGGTCTCACTACGCAGATTGGAGGTGTAGTAATCTTCCTGTGTTCAGCCTCCCAAGAGCTGGGATTACAGATGTGAGCCACCATGGCCAGTCTCAATCACAGGCTCAGTGTGCCCCAAGGGTGGAGCCAGCACAGCACATCAGTTCTCGAATCCCCGGCCCCCACATCTGCCTAAGCTGGTGCTTTAGTCCACTGAGCTATCTGGCCAGCCCTCAACCAGATTCTTTAAATCGCAGTTCCAAAATAAACTGATGATAGCATCAAGGGTTAAAATGTAATGAGACATTTAGTCAAATTGCAGTATGCTCAGAGTGTAGATGGTTGAAATTCCTTATCAAGAAGTAAGACAGAACAGTCCCTCATGTGGCAGTCTGTTTGAAGGGAATCAGAATTCTCAAAACCTGGACAAGGCCAGTGTCAATGAAGGCAAATAGAAATGAAGACCTGTAAGATGTCTAGGAAGGCACAAATGCAGCATTTTGAACTTTGTTCCTATTTTATTTAAGCTAAGCTACATGGTATATAAAATGATATGGCTCTGAACATTTAATTATCTTCCATTAAAATTAAGTCTTACTCAGAGAAAATGCTGTGCATGCTTTCTTCTTATCAAAGAAAACACTTTTAAAATAGTTAAGGGGGAAAAAATCTTAGCATAGAGAAACACTAATAAACATGAGCACATAATTGGTTTTTTTTTGATAATTAAAAATGTAGGCTCTTTTATTAGGAAAGTGGAGAATTTCCTTTGACTATGATGCTGTTTTCCATTTTGTAAACACATTACTTTCTTATTTTGAATTATTTCATCCTTTCCATGCTCCTACTTTTTCCTCTCCATTTTTATTCTTAATATGCCTTTATTGCTTATCCAAAGACATTATTCATCACATTATGTTTCTTTGTGTTTTTTTTATTTTTTTTCCAAAATTTTATTGATAAACAGCAATGAGACAGTTTCAAATCAAATCGGAAGTACAGTTTCAACAAATACACATAATCGTTTTCATTTGGGTTAAGTTGAACTAATTTGCTACTTAATTGAGTTAAGTTGAATTAATTTGCTAATTAATTCTTTAAATGTAGCAAATTTCTTCATATAAAAATGCAAATATTAAAGGTTATCTTTAAATTTGGGTAAGCTGGCCACATGCGCTCTCTATGCCTAAAGGAACTAAGCTGCCCAAAGACCACATGCTCTCCAGATTCCAGCCATCTTCACTCTTTTGTGGAAACTTCCTGCTCCCTCTGGAGGCATTGACATTTACATCTTCTGCTCAACGTTTAGGCATAAAAACCCTGTCTTTGTTATAGGTGGTTCTGAGAATACCTCTTCCCAAGTTGGGTCAAGAATGATAAGGAACTCTGTGCCTTTGATGCTTATCCCATGAAGATGGGAAGCTACAGAACACTGACTTGATCTCTCTGGGCCAAGTGAATGTGAGCCTTCCAGGTAGCACCTGGCCAGAAGGGAAGGACGAAGAAAAGGAGAAGAGGAGTGGGAATCCAGGAATTGGGAGGCATGGAATTTCAGAACTGACCTTGAGTGGCTGATA